TAATCCCCTTAAGAGCATCTTTTCATCTGTTGCAGCTAGCAGAGATGGCGCTCCAAACACGGGCAGCAATGAAAAAAGAGTCAATATGCTATGCAGAAGGACGCCCGGAACTACCGCCGCAATGCGGGCAACACTGATATAAATGCGAAGGGCAAGCCAAACATACCTCAATAATCGATGCGGATCCTCTGCTTGACACAACTTTTTCATCTCTTCAGGAATCTGCAATTCATTCGACGAGAGTGCCACCAGGAAATACGGCCGCAACTCAAGGACAAGGGTCCACAATTTGCCTTGAAACGCAACAGGGGGTTTGTCAAGGGTGGAAAGCTCCGCGTCTAGTGCAGTGGCACGTTGACCAAACACCTTGAGAGCCTCACGCAAAGGTGCAGAATCCTCAGTCGATGGCCTGGGACGCTTCATTGCGGCGGATGATCTTCGCGGCCCCTGCTTCTCCACATACTGCGCAATTACCTCATTCATTCCCGTATAATCCATTTGTTCCCCCACTTTATTCTCCCCCCTCAAACACGTGCACAAACACACACACACTCTCTCTCTATATATATATAATCGTTAATTCCGTAGTACGGGTATCTGAGCTTCTCACTCCTGCCTTCTTACAGCCAGAAAACGCTGAAAACCAGCATACCGCAATATATATATATATATACGCAAACAAAAAATAAAATAAAGAGAAAAAAAAGTTTTCAAAAAAAAGAAAAGTCAGCAGCTTTCAAAAGAAAATACAAAAAAAAAAAAAATCATGTAACTTAATGCACAGAAAGTCACTTCCCAAAGACAATAAGGTTTTATTTTTAAAAAAGGGTGAATAAATAAGTTTTTTCAAGCATGCCAGAAAAGAGCTCAAGGGACTCAGGAAGAAAGCAGCACTTCAAGCTTTTCCAAAAGCGTATCGTTTTCTTCTTGCAGGAGAGACACCTGTCGAACAACCTCAATCTGGCGATTTATAGCAGTTTCGAGAGCCTCCAACGGTAAGGATGACGGTTGAGTTGCGGTCGTGTTGTTTTTGAGCTCATTGTACATTTCTACAATGCTTTGGCCAACTTCCCTCATAGATTGCTCCTGATCCAGTTTGAGGTAGCCGTAGCCACTCACTTTATTAAAGAATTGCGTGGCCTCACGCATCACTAACTCCTTTTTCTGGGCTTTTTCCACGTAATTTGATATGCGTCTCGGCATATTATGCTGAGGAAGGGAATCCGTGACTGTATTTGATGCTTCTGGCGCCGTTGCTGTTGTCGCCGTCGTCGGCCTTGACGGTTCCTGCACCTCAGTCGATGAATTTTTTGCCCTTCTTGCCTTATCCTGCTGCGCGTATCCTACGGCAAGCGCAAGACACTGAAGAAATGCATTTGTCTTCTCGGGCTCACTCCCTGAAACTATCTTCTTTACATTGACATCAATTTTTCTTCCAAGAAGAAATCCCACGTACTTCACCAGCGTCGTCAAGTACTCCACCTTCTTTTCTTTGCTGTCGATTCTCGTCACGTCAAGCTGTGCAGGGGACAAAACATGGTCGTACGCGGCAAAGCGAGCGTTGATGGATGTCACTATATCTGCAATAAAACGAAAGGGTGGCCTTTTTAAAAGCTTCGGTGTGAGGTCCGGCCCGTTTAACTGCAGTGGCTTGAAGGCCTCGATGGTCGGCGTCCAAAAGTCCACCTCCGCGTCTCCCATGGCCGGGGTGAGAAGGAGGGCAAAGCAAAAAAAACACGGCAAAAAGCCAAAACAAAAACAAAAACAAGAGTACGCCTATAAATATACATATAATTGCCCAGTTAAACAAAGCACACAACAGGCAAAAAAAAAAAAAAGAAAAAAAAACATATGAGCAAGGACAAGTCAAATAAACGAGGCACGACAAGATAGATATATATGTATGTGTGTTTATTGTGTCCACAAGCATAAAAATAAATTAATTAATTACACGTAAATGCATGTATTATGCGCATGAAAATGTGACACATCATTGAACCCTTTCACACCCTAATCGTTCTGCTTTCCACCATTCGGCATGGAAGGCTTTTCCTTCTCTTTCTCCTTATCGGTGATGCGATCATGGCCGGTCAATTTCCTAAACTCACCCAGTTTCCTCGTTTCATCTGGAACGCCAAAAAGCGCGTTCAAAGAGAATCGACTTTCCAGACAACGCTGCTGTGATTTTGGTAGCATTCGATTAACCGTTTCGTTGTGTGATGCCGGCACGAATAATGTACTTGCCCCAACTCCAAGAAGCTTGAGACCAATATTCCGAAGCGCTATATGCGTGTCATGGTGACGTATCGACAACCACGACTGAAATTCCGGGTTCTGACGCTTCAGGTATGTCATTTCTCTCAACTTGTTGACCATGGCAACCAGACTAAAGGGTGCATCCTTGCCCAACCAGTGCTCCTGAATGGCTTCAATCGGCGTGTAGTGAGGATACACTTGCTCTTCAATGCCCATCCACCCTTTCATGGCATGGATAAGACCCAAGTCGTCTTCCGTCCGTACCTTAGCGGTGCGCATAAGTTGCGAGGGACGATAAAAATCCGCTAGTGGTCTTGACAAGAGGCGATTGATAGCCCTCAGATAAATGAAGCTGAAGGCATGAGCAGAGATGACTGTACTGTACGTGCCAGGCGGATCTTCAAAGTCAAGCGTGTTATACTCGGGATCCATGAGGGATGGGTGAAATCCCCACGTACTCATTCCCTGTTCCGCCATGCTTCTCTCGTATTCATCTTGCTCAAATTTCCTCTCGTATTTATTGTACGACTCTGCTGGACGGAACGCAATAATGATATCGGATGTATATCGTGACACCTTACGAATGGAGATGTCACGCGTAGTTCCCATGGCGTCATCAAAACGAATGGTCCTGTGAACACTAGCTCGACCCAGACATGCACCAATGGCGGCTAACATATCCGTAAAACCCTCTGAAAAGGAGACATCGTTTCGTGCTTTCCAGACCATGTCCCGCGTCCCTGAATTTTTGTCGGTGAAATAAAAGGAGATGGTGAATATCTCCTCCGGTCTATGTTCGTCCATGTCGATGACACAGTCCAGACACTCAATTTCCTCACCAAGCTCACGCCACGTCAGGTGCTTTGGTGCCTTTTTGAACTTGTGTACAAACATCAACTTGTGCTTCCATTTCTCCTCCTCCTCATAAGGCACCACTGCATCATCCGGCCGCGACAATGCCTCAATCACTTCGCTCTCCACATCATCGATGCGCCGAAAGTCAACCGTCGAGTTCTTCACGTCCACCACTTCCTCCACGTTCCACATGCCAGTGGGACGGAGAGGGCCGTAATCCGGTTCCATTGGCCCATCTGTCGGTTCGGTGCTCGTGACACTGCCGGATACTTCTTGCGGCGTGTCAGCTGCAGCATCTCCTCCCGTAGTGCTCCGCAGCACAATGTGAGACTTTGAGAATGAGAGCTGCTTGTCGCTAGAATTCCCCTTTTTTTCGCCACTTTCCCCCGTGGTGGATTTGGCGCGTTTCTGCAACAGCGAGAGCGGGTGGCGCAAGAAATCAAAGCGGCACACAACCCGCTGCAGCTGTAATGAGCGCATATAAAAATGTTTACGCTTCTGTGAAAATGCACCCGCCTTCGCTCCTTCTTTCTCCCTCCACCTTTTTTTTTTCCTGCCTCCACCCCGCCTCTCCGCGCCGTGTGAGAGGTGCCGATTGCGGCGTCAGAAGAAACAAAAACAACAAAAAAAAACGCGAAAAAAAAGCACAACTATAATCACAGCATTAATGCTACCTCTCCTTCCTTCTTTCTCTTTACATATAGAAAGAAAGAACAAAAGATAGAGAGAGAGAGAGAGAGAGAGAGCGAGTAGAGAAGAAGAAGAAAAGAAGGTACTTTAAAAATAAAGCCAAGAGGCACTACAAAACCCCATTTTTTCTTCGTCGACACAACAGAAGCGTTTGGGCACCTCTCCCCCTCTCTATATACGCACACAAGGCCAACATATACCCGTATATGAACACATATACACGACTGCTCACAACTGAAATCAACCGTAACGCTCTTCTTTCAATGGGACCTCCTTCGTTGTTGTACCGCCGTTCGCACATCACGAGAAAGGAGCCGGGGGTATAAGCACTCCTCTGCGGAATATCGAACGTGAACGAAGCCCCATCACCGCTAAAGGAAAAAGAATTCCCACAGTAATCATCAACAGCCCCACCAAGTACCCAAGGGAAGAATACTGGAGAGTTAAATCGGACATTCCCAACCAACTGTTGCCACGGCCTAGTAAACAAAAAGAACAGGGGTGAGGGTGCCAAACGAGCGTATGTGTTTGGCTGGGTGCGCTCTATTGATGCTACACGTTGAAAATAAAAAGGCACAAGCAACAATGTACAAAGAAAGAGAAAAAGAAGAGGCGGAAAAAAAAAATAGAGAAGAGAATACAGCACACAAAAAAAATGCACAACAACAGACGCCAGTGGTAACAAACAATAGAGACAAACGAGCGTGAAGAAAATAAAATTAATGCATTAAAAAAGGCGTAAAAAGACGACAAAGATGATGACTCAACCTTGCTAAAAAGCAAGACGTATAAATGTGAAATGAGGGAAAGTAAAGAAGAGCAACAGGAGACTCCAAAACAAGATTTCCGCACGGGATCAGTTCTTCGTTTGCTCATGCTGCAGTTTATCCAGCAATAGCTTCACTCGGCCATTCATGACCGGCTGTCCTTTAGGGGTCCTTTGCGCATAAAGTGCGTTATTTGCGTGTCTTCTTTGAATGCATTTAATCCTTGTCGCCTCCCTTTCCTTCTTCGCTGCTTTTTGCGCCTCAAATTGTTCCTGGCGTTTCTTCCGAACCTCCTCCACCTTTGTCAGTGCGTTGTGGTGCTTCTCTTTTTTCTTGAGAAGCTCCGTCACTGTTTGCGCCGCATAATTTCGCTTCAGGTTAAACTTCCGCTTCTTTTTCTCTGAATTCGTGAGGCTCTGGTCGTATTCGATGCGCTGCAACCTCTCGTTCAGCAAACTTGACGCGTCTTTACGTGCCGAATCGTACTCCTCCAGCCGTTTTGACTGGATGCCCTCCTCCTTACAGAGACGGCGATACTCCTCCATGCGTCGCCGCTCCGCGTCTTTACCCTCGCGACCATGAAGAAGCAACTCATTTCGCACCTTCCGTCTAAAGGCAGCTTGGCGCTCGGCCTTCAGCATAGGCGGAGGGCGCCGACTCGGGTTGCCGCCAGGGCTACTAGTCATATCCTCTCCTTTTCTCTGCCTTCTCCTTCTGTCCTTTGCGGGCCTGGCGGGGGGAGAAAAAAGAAAATTAGAGGCGGAAAGCAAATAATTCTATAAAACCAGGCGGCAATCAATTTAAAAAGTCTGTCAAAAATTATAACAAAAACAAAAATAAACAAAAGGAACAGACTTTATTTGTTTCGTCCATTTATGGATAGGACCGGATACAAGGACGGTAAAGGAGAGGGTACTGCACAATATATACGCTGACACCTTAAAAGAATATTTCCAGTGCCTTTTTAAAGTTGTGCACTAAATATTTATCACGGTTTAATATGAATGTAATGTCTCTTGTACTCAGCGGCCGCAATGTTGAGAGTGCAGTTGGAGCGCCATTTTCGCAGCTCGCACAAATTCTTCAAGAAGTGCGGCAGGAACAGCTTCTTTGCGGTAAAACCCCCCGCTTGGGAATAACAGATAGTGCTGTTCAGGCAAGAGCTGTGCAAGCGACCTCACTGAACGACCGTCAGGCTCGTAAAGAACACTAGGCGCTGGTCGGCAGCCCATCAGCGTGCCCGCCTTCTCCGTTACATGCACCATATAGCAGTAACTACTGTGCACCAAGATTCTTGTCGGCTTGCACACAAACGATGTGAAGGTGCCAAAACAAGGCCAGACATTAATCCAAAAGCTCTTTTGTTGCACGGGAGACGCTGTTAGGTTGCGCGGCTTAGCCTTAAGACGCGTTGAGGATATTCCCGGGACGCGGCTACGTGCAGAATTAACTTTACCCGATGGCCCTGTGCTATAACAATGTGGTCCGTCACTATAATCACAACACTTGTTCGTGTGGCACGATTCCCTTGCAGAGGAAAAATCTTCGAACAATGGGCGAGGAAAAACAGCTTTGGAATTCGTCGTCCTTGGAGCACCGTCAGTCACTTTGAATGAGTGTGCGTCCACATCGTCACGGGACTCTGAGTCGAGATCTAAAATGTCACTTCGTGGTCCTTTCCACACATGCGGCCCCCTCGCTACTGGTTCCGAATGATTTCTCCTGCTATACTCCTCCCCCCTAAAACCGCTGTCACCTGAAGTACTGCAATTTGCGTCATACAACAACTGTTCATGAGTCGCCACAGTATTTTCGGATGCCGCAGGTGGCATTTGTGTGCTGTCGAGAGGCACTCGTGTTTTCCTTTTGCCACTCTCGGGCCAACAAGCCTTGTGTCGCTCCATAAGATCCCCATCCATTCTCTCACTCTTTTCGCCATCCCGCTTCCATTCTTGCCACTCGCAACCCTCATCCAAATCAGAAAGGCAAAAATCCCCATCGAAAGAATCTCGCAATCGTTGCGGCTGCCGGATTTTGGCCGGGGACGTGCCTGCTGCCTCCGTCATAATTGGATCCTGCTCTTGAAGACAGTTCCACTAAAAATGCCAAAATAAAAGAAAAAAAAAAAACAACAGCCAATTGGTAGTTGTCATGGATAAATGTATGCGCATTGAAATCAAAGCGACTACTGGCTTAATGTCATGCAACAATTGGCAGTTCAAAGATATACATTAATATGTAGATATATTTCGTGCGTACGCCATTCCTTAAGCTTTGAAAATTGTACTCCCGTGCGATCCTGCAAAAAGCCTACAAACACCACCCTTCCATCTCCCGCCAGCAGTTCCCCTCCTCCTCTGCTCCCCCCACCCCATTTTTCTTTTTCTTTTTATTATTATTATTATTGTTGCTCTACTAAGTGCAAAATAGACACGATGAATCTCAAAGCTGTTTTCAAAATGATGATAATAATAATAATAATCACAATTCCGCTCGGAGAGGGTGGAGTAGGAAAACAAACCCTAACACGCACAAGGACGGTCGTAAAAATATCATCATCATCATCGTCATCGTCATTAGATCTAGTGCCTTCCTTCTCCTTTTCCTAGTCGTTTCATTAGTATTTTGTCGTTTTTTGATTGTCCTTCCCCTAGGAGGCGGGCCCGGACTAATTTTATGCAGTAAGCACGGGGCGGGGTCCTAGCACGCTTTCAATATCTTCCCTCATCAGTTCCTTTTTTTCTAGCAGCAGTTTCGCAAGCTTTTCGTGAAGCTCGCGTTTTTCGAGCAGGGTTTTTTCTGTGTGTTTGTATGCCGCCGCCACAAGATCACGTGCCTCCTGTTCCACCTTTGCGTGTAGATCTTCAGAGAAGTTCATCCAGGCACGACCCTCATTACGATCGTTCGGCTTAAAGGCCAGCTGACCGATGGATTTAGACATGCCGTACATCAGAAGCTTCTCCATTGCAATGCGAGTAGCCCGCTGGAGATCATCCATGGCACCAGTTGAAATATCCTTCATAAATATCTTCTCGGCAACACGACCGCCCATAAGAACACATAATTGTGAGAACAAGAACACGTCCGTACGTGGCTCTAGAGCTTCGTCCTGCACCTGCTGCGTGTAGCCACCAGCCCTTCCACGTGGAATGATGGAAATTTTTACAACATCCTTCTGTAGTGGAGATATCCATGCCATGATTGCGTGGCCAACCTCATGATAGGCTGTGCGCTGCAGCGACGTATCGCTCATTCGCTGACGATGTTTCCTACCTATAAGGACATCGTCAATACTGTCCTGAAGCGTTTTCAACGGAACAACTTCCTCCTCAAGCATGGCTGATGTCAAGGCAGCTTCGTTCACGATGGTTGCAATTTGCGCTGGTGACACGCCAGGGGTGCGTTCAGCCAATTCAAGAGCGTACGCCTTGTTGCTGACGCCGGGGATGATCTTCACCGCAGCGGGTATTTCCTCCATCATGGAGTTCGTGACCTCCTCTTTCTTCTCGTTATTTGTCCCATCGCCCGCAGTAGTGGAGGAATCGGTGGCACCGGCTTCACCCTCCTTTCTCGTGCGGAATCGTTGTACTTTTGGCTTGCAGTTCGGATCCCCGGTAATGATCCTGTTCAGATAAAACTCAAATAGCTCTTGTCGGGCTTCCATATCGGGCATCGGAATATTCACCTTACGGTCAAAGCGTCCCTCACGTAGAAGGGCCTTATCGATGGCCTCCGGGAAGTTTGTGGCGGCAATCACCACAATCGCCTCTTTGCTAGAAAGCCCGTCCAGCTCAGCAAGCAACTGGTTGATGGTGCGGTTTTCCTCACTGCTACCTCCGCCACCCATACTGCGTCCACCCTGGTTACGAGATCCAATGGCGTCAATCTCATCAATAAAGACAACACATGGTGCGGCCTCCTTGGCTTGTTCAAAGAGTTCACGGACTCGCTTTGGACCACTGCCGCCAAAAATCTCAATAAAATCCGCACCAGAACAGGAGAAAAACGCAGTGCTAGCCTCACCTGCAACGGCGCGAGCCAAGAGAGTCTTGCCCGTTCCTGGCTTTCCGGTCAGCAGACAACCCTTCGGCAGGCGGGCACCCAGTCGGGTAAACCTTTTTGGTTCCTTCAAAAAGTCCACGTACTGCTTGAGGTCCTCTTTGGCTTCCGGAATGCCAATGACGTCGGCGAAGGTGGTGTTCTTAACATCTACACGGTAATTCTTTGACTTCATAGGGTTCATCATGTCCATCAGCCCACCCATCATTGAGTTCTTCTTTGCCGCGTCCCCAGTGGCAGCTTTGCTCATGGCCTGAACGTACTTGCGACGCATGTACCAGATTGGACCGACAAAAATGGCAAGATTAACAAAAAGTGGTGCCAACCAGCTGACGGCATTTCCAAGAACAGGTCCTGAAGGTCTTACCACGCCGTCGTAAAATCCCTTAAAGTAATCATTGTCCTGCTGGGGAGAAAAGTAATTGGGTGCAGGCGGCGCCAGTGGTGGTGGCGTGTAACCCTGTGGTACCGTCTGTTGACCATGCTGTTGCGGGTATACGTTTTGTTGCGGCGCATAAGAAGCAAATTGCTGTTGATGTTGTTGTTGTTGTTGCTGCTGTGGCTGCATATACGGTGGTTGTTGACCGTATGGCTGATGTTGTTGGTAGTACATCTGCTCAAAGAGAGACTGTCCACCCTGGCCACCTCGCTGATCGCCCTGCATAGCCAATACCAAAATGAATGACACTAAATAAAAAAATAAGTAAAAAAAAATAATAATAATAACTCGGATGTATGTATATGTATCAATTTACGTTCGCTCACACTAGGCTGCAAGGCTGGGCAAAAAAAAAAAAAAGCCAAGTGAAGAAGCAAACCTACATCCAAAACAGATGGCCTTGCTAGTTTACCCACGTCAAAGGCACACACACACACACATACACACAAAGAGAAAAAAAGAAAAGTGTGTAGAGAACGTGTGTTTTCCTGCGTCCGAAAGCACAAGAGCATTTTTGGTGCATTTTAAAATAATCAAAAATCTACAAGGCACGACACAGCAGGGGATGCCACGGCAGGGGGATGACGTGTGGATACAACAAGATTATGGCTTAGAGTTCTTTTCTCCCTCCACCAGACTGAGTGCCGCGACGCGTCATCGTGGCAGCAAGCATCAAGTGGATCAATGATTCATCATCATCATCATCACCATCACACTGTGACTTGCAGGAGGCAACTGAGCGGTCCAGCGAGCCCTCACCAGAAATAGTGCTCAAAGATTTCTCTAAGGGTGACATCGTGAGACTGTCATCACATTTGCTCTCTTTCGTAAGCGGTGTGCAGTTTTTCTGGCTCCCACCCATTTCCTCTGAAGCCTCCAATCGACTAGAAACTGTCAAAAATTTGCTTGCTTTCAATTGTCCACTACTTTTCAATCCCACACGGGGTTGCACAACGTGTTCAGGGGTGCTCGCATTCCGCAGATGCTCCTCCAGCTTTTGACCAAAAGCAGAGACCATAAACCCAAAGACAGGCCTCTGGACGCTCCGTGCCGTTGCGGAATCTCGCGTCCTCGGGGAGCCATGAGTCACGCTGGTGTACCAGGAAGATGTGTAAAAGGGATCATCGCCGCGACTGCGCCGAATATAAGAAGAAGACGGGGATATCATTCTGCTGGAATGGCAGCTCCGGTCACACGCTGCTTCCAAACGCCGCGAAAGCGTATCCAGGATGTCCCAGCTTAGCAGCCTCTCGCGAAAAGGCGCACTGTAGCGAGAATGAATGCCAAGATCAATACGCTGCGTAAACTCCTCAGTAAAAATAATCCGACGCCACCTGCGCTCCTCAAGCAACAAAAGCTGCTGCCTGTAGTGGTACACTAAAGGCGTGAGATTGCGTTCCACCTGCTCCGCTGACAGCCCCTTCCATTTAACGACAAACTCTGCGTCACCCGTGTGCGTCGGGCCTTTTCCAACAGGGTCACGCCGCGCATGCTTCACAGGAGCAGCAGCAACATAGGCAAGTGAAGGGCCGAGGGGCGGCAAAATCACCGAGCAATCGCGCACCTCATCCGAGCCACTGTCCAGGACAGGAATCAACCGAGGAATGTGGTGTCGTTCTGACCGGTAGGGAGGAATGAGTGCCTCGCTGTACGATCCATTGCCCCATTGTGTGACGCTTGTCCGGGTGCTCACACTCATGGTACCGCTACGAGTGCCTCCTGGCACTTCTCTTCATTTCACCACAAAAAAAAAAAAAAAGAACAAAAATAAAACACACGTCCCATTTGTCCGCACAATGCAACAGCCATAAAAAGACACAGACACACAGACGCAGAGAACATCATCCCCAAAAGTCACAAACTAAGAGAGTGCACCATGGTAAAGAGGAAAAAAAAAAAGTGGAGGCACTGAAGACGGTTGATCACGTTCAATGTCTAATTCCCGCATTATGCACCGCCTTGCTACTGAGAACAGTCGCAAAATTCCGCCAACAGTGCAACCATGAGTCACACCACCCCATAAAGAAGAGCAGTAACTAATTATTTGACCCCGTATTTAAAAAAAAAAAAAAAAAAGTGTCTCGTCACCAATCGGTAGAATCTCACAATCGGTGCCTCTCCGACATGGGCAAGTTCACATAACCTGCAACGCCGTTCCCCCCGTAACCAACGCCCGGGGCCGACTCAAACCCACGTGCACATTCTAATGGCTCGAGAGAATGAAAAAAATCCCTTTGAAAAAAATGCACATAAATTGTGTCGTAATCATTTCCCTCCTGTTTCTCTTCCGCAGCATATATTCGGCAAATAATTCTATCGTCATTAAAATCATGCGGACGCACAACAGCCAACTTCTTGCCAATGATAGGACTACGCGCCACGGCAACGGCGTTCCAACTGAGCGCAAGGGCCGCACCGTAAACCACACTGTCTGTTGACCTACACCAAATCACAGCATCGTCGTTGTGATGTTTGTTCGTCGTGCCCACCGGGTTTTCATCAACATCCACATGGAATAAAAATCGCGTCACAGCACTCGTCAGACCCCGAAGAATTCCCTCCTGATTGGTCCCACACACCGTGCCAAGGTACGGGTTTGGATGCCGCTGAAAAAAAGGAAAACGACGAGCGTCGAGTATCGGCAGGTTGGCCGTGATGTCATATGGAAATATCAGCGGCTCCACCACAATCTTATCAAAGTCAAACGCCTCAAACTCAAAGCGGCGGTCCAGCGACGCTGGTGGGCCGTCCCGTACCCACTCCACCACCTGCAGCAGCTTGGGTTTCGCCCATTTCCAGAACTCGCTGCTTCGCCTCACACGCCAAGCCACCACCTGGCAGACACATCGATCAAGGTACACAAAGAAGTCACATTCATCAGCGTTGGCAATTGCCATTTGCCCCTGCATTTGACAAAGATAATGCAGCGGAATACCAAACGGTTGATATTCCGGCTTTGACCCATCGTATAGGGAGTAATATGGTGATTTTATCTCTAGTAAACGGCACGCCCGCTGAGTGGCGACACGTGCTGGTGCCACTGTCCGCTTCCCCTGTCGACCCCATTTTGAGCAAAATGGTATCGGCACACTCACCGGAGTGTCTGGAGAAGTGTGTTCGATGTCGCTTTTCACACAGTCAGATGAACTGGGGAGCGACAAATTCACATCGTAGAAAATGCGTCCGTCTGGCGAGCAGCCTAAGAGCCGGTCGTCCGTCACAAAAAAGCCTCCATCACTCACAGTGGTACCTGTCAAAAGCTCATACAATGCGCGGGCCTTCGGCTCGGTTTTATTTCCGTGCACAGTGCTGGCATTGCACTTAAATTCTAACTCCGTTCCGACGACATTGCGTAAATAGTCTACAAAATCCACGACACGTCCACAGAAGCCGAGTGCCATACCGAACTGCGACGCAGACAGCCCAAATGGGAACCCCTCCTTCCATTGAAGCTTTTTGGGATGCTGAGCCATGATTCGGCACGTCTACGCTAAATCATTGATTTATACGTGTTGTCATAAAAATAATAAAGAAATATATAAACATTGCAGAATACATATACACATACATATAATATTATAGTATATGGACTGTCGATACGTGCGTGTACAAACGGAAAGCGTAATAGAACAGGGAAGGGTTGGAACAGGAAACAGAATTTCCAACCTCATTTATTTTCCTACCTCAATGATGGCGGTGGCGGTGGTTGAAAGGAAGAAAAATTAATTCACCATTTCAGCTAATTAGCAAAGCAAAAAAAATAAAAAAATATTTTCTCCGGTCAACAGGAAAATATCTATATATATATAGATATCATGCAGAGCAATTCACAAACTGCCCTCGTGGATCACAGCGCAAAAGATCTTTTCGAACTTCACATTGCATAGTCCCCTGCTCAGTCCAGTTCGAGTCTCGCAGGACTTCTACACGAAACAATGCCCGGTCTTCGTCTCCCCATCGAACAGAAACCAAATGAACAATAGACAACTGAACTGAAAAGAGCTCTGCAGCTTCCCTCATTAGCTGCTCCGGGTCGTGTGGTTGATTGTACCAATGCAAGACGTTTTTTGGCTTATTTGGGCCTTTTCCAAATACGGGAAGAGTGATGAAAGTTGCTACTGATGCGCTCTTAAGGAAAGAAATAAGGGACCGCTGAAATGTTCTTTTTGTCGGGGTGTGTGCAAAGTTTTCAAAAAGAGACACAGCAACTTGGTATTCTGCCATTGTTTGACGGCCAGCCATGTTGCCAAGCCGAATAAGTGACATTGGCGGCGACAAACAAAGAAAAAGACGTGGATTTTCTAAATTATTTTGACTCTGTATGGTGTTCCATCTATTCTCTATCCCCTTCAATATTTGAAGCAGAGAGGGACACTCGTTCCCCTCCGCGACCGTTTGGGGACAGCCGCTTAGAACGACGCCTGTCACAAACAAATCCGGAAAAAAGCTTGCGAGAGACAAAGTCATGTATCCATCGTTGACGTCGTACACAAGCATCTGCAGCCGATTTCCCGGCTCAGGCTCTGTCTGGGTGTCTTTGGCTTTTCCATCTTTGGCGTTGGATCGAGCCCATCGGGCCAAATCACCCCGAATGCTGTAGTAAATCTGTTTCCACTCCTTCAAAATTGCGAGTCGCTCCTCTCCCCATGGAAACAAAAAAGGAGCGGTTTGCCTGGACGAGATCGCGTTCATTTGCCGCATGGTGTACTGCAGCACCGTGTCGCTCATGCGTCCGCCCGGCATTTCAGGGCCACCGGCGGCGGGAGAAGATGTGGGGGCCGGGGCACCCGGCATTGGCCAGCTGCCGACGGTGCACGACTCCACAAAGAACAGGACAACAAAGCCGCACAGCACCAATATTTTGCTCACGGGAAAACGAGGGGGCCGCGGAGCGTGGGCGCAGCACTCGTCGTCCATTTCCTTCCAATTCCTTGCACACATTGTTGGGAAAGCCAGCAAAACTCAAAGACGATCACACGCCTCCTTCCGTTGCAATTTCTTATCTTTGCAACCTAACCGTCATGTCGAAGAAAAGAAGAAAAAAAAAAGGAAAATAAAAAAACAATACTAGAAAGCAAATAAAGACACACAAGGCAGTTAAAAGCTCATGCAAGAAAGAAAAAGAAAAAAAAAAGATGGGCTGGTAAAGCGTCTTCCATTTCAATGGCGCATTGCACAAATTACATAAGCCTCAGCCCCCTCCCCGCCCTTCACAAACCTCCAGTCCTTCTGTTTTTATCCAACTGCCTTTTGTGTTTATATATATATATATATACGTATGTATATATATAAACGCCTCGTCCTCTCATTATGGAAAAAACAATGACGAGAGAGCACAGAAAAAAAGATGAAACGCAGCAACAATGCTCAGGCACCACGTATTTCTATACACACACGCACACAATGCAAACCGGTAGAAAACATCAAAATGGGGCAGCCGAAATAAAAACAAAAATAAATAAATAAATAAATATCACACGCACACACACACAAAAAAAAGAATTTCTATGGTGTCTATCATGACGGATGCAACTCAATCGTCTGTTCTGTAAAATAACAGTGGTGGCAGAATGGAGTGAAAAAAATCAAAAAGAGAAGAAGAAAAGAAAAAAAACATTTCTACCACCACCGCATGTGCCTCTATGATACCGTAAATAAAGTGGAAGCCCATATCTGCCTTCATTCTACGGGTATTCATGATAAATAAGATTTGAAGACACAAATACACAGAGAAAAAAAAAAGAAAAACTCCCCTTCTCTACCGCAATCTTGTGCGCAGTCCGCTTTTCCTGTATTGGGCCTTGTCCTCCTTAGACATGGCTCCAGCAGGTACAACGTTCTTCACGGCGTTGTTGACATTCTGCAGCCAAATGCGAACACCAAAAATGCGGTAAAGCTCGCTGTTAAGATGCCGAAAGTCAATTGAACGAGAGGACTCATAGTAAAAGCTGATCTTCTGCTGATCAAACTGGTACTCACAGTCTACCACATCCATTTCGAGCCCCAGTCGTGCAACAATCTCACGGCATGTCCTCAATGCAAGGTTCTCGTTCCGTGCAATTTCACCAAAGAGGCGCTCTACCTCCTCCTCGCTTGCCACTCGCAGCACTCGACTCATATCAGACTTCATGCGGGCAACGTTCACCATCGTGCCATCCAAGCTTTCCTCGCGAACAAAGCAGCCTTTTTCCGCATTCCACTCGCTGCATTGGTTCACAACGCCGCAGTCATACCCACGATCACCCTGCACAATGGCGTACTGGCCGGGAACAATAAAAAAATTGCTCTCGCACCGCTTCACACGCTGGCACTTGAATTCCACCAACAAAATGAAACAGTTATATTTCGGCCAACTGTGCTGGTCGGCAACACCTCCGCCCGCTGAGACCGTCGCTCCAAGAGAGGGAGACTTCTTATGATCAGTGATCTTGGCCTCCAGCGTCCCCGGCACTTCTGAATTTGGCATTTCGGATGTTGTTGCGTCCGGCTGCTGGGTATCCCGCGAGGCATCGCTCCGCGGCAAATGAGACTGCCTTTCTCGGAGGGCGTTGTTAAACAAAGCGGTCACATTTCTCTCCTTGTTGTGCAAATCAAGATGGACGGCCTCCGGAGATTCCGTCCTGAGCCTGAGCAAAGACAACCTTCCCTGCTGAGGCACCAACGCAGACAACAAATCGTATATGGTGTCAAGTTTATGCGAGAGAGCATCCACCTTTCTCGATAGTTCCTCGATTGCGGCGCCAGTCACGACGGAACTCTCCTTTGACTTGTGTGATTCGCTCTGCGGAAGAACCCGGCGCTTGCCTGATGCAGCATTTGTCACGTCCTGGAAGGACGTTGACTCCATTGCTCGCGATTGACCCTCCTTCGCTCCTCCTTATTGACCGCCCCAAGCAAAGTAATATATATATATATATATATATATATATATATATATATATATATATATATTGGCATTAAATTTATTATGATCAAAATAAAAAAGAAAAGACAATCGAAAACTACATGGATAAGAACAGGCAGCCAGTTCCCTCCACAGACGGGCAGAAGGCGACGAAACAAACATTCAAAGAGAATTAACTTCCCATCATCATCATCACCACAACTCTCATAAGAAGAGACAGTCCACCCCCAAAGGCAGCAACAACAAAAAAAGGTGAAAAAAGAGCAGTTGAAATATTCTTGTGGGGTCAATGCCACGTTCTACGCAAGTATTTCCCAGTCGCCCACAAATACTTAAATCATTGCAAGACGTCCGATAGAAAATAAACACAATTATTTACATCCAACTCTCCCTCTCCGTCATGTAAAACGGTTGTACGGAATCAAAATCGCCATCGTCGTTGCCATTTGCAGAGAAGCCAATCCAAAAAAGAAGAATGCCTTCAAGGCACTGCAGCAATGCAGCCCGTCTCTTCTCATGTGAGGCTTCGTCAACCAAAAGTGGAGGATGTATTACCTTGATCAGCGGCCTCACTTCTGCAAGCTGAAGATTAGGTTTCTCCGTGTGAAGGGAGGCAACGCTCGCCATGTGAAGATGAACGCCGGAGAGTTGCGCCACACGGTGGTAGAGCAGCTCGACATCTATCTCCGACGTGTCAAACGGCATCTGCACGCCATATAAACTCTCCAACGCGGGGCCCAACTCATGTGCCCAAAAATGCTTTGCCTTGGTGCCTGAAGACTGCAGCAGCCCCAGGAGAAATTCCTGGCAGACAATCTTCACCTCATCCACACTCTGCGCGGTGCGACGGAGTTTGTCCCGAAGAAGACGCACTGCAGTCCGTGCAATCATTTCAATCTCCAAGTAATGTGCCACAGCAAAACGAGAAACATGCGGAAGGCGGTAATAAACAAATGGAAGGAAACGCATGTTAAGTCCATTTGCGTGAAAGATGGAGTTAATGGGCGGCTCGATCAAAAGTCCTTTCGGACCCCGTGCCGCGGTATCGCACTTCACGGCATCACAGAAAAGAAGGTTGTCTTTTTTATCCTCCGACAAGCGCTGCGTGTAGCAGTGAGAACAAATACAACAGCACATGTCTATACTATGGCACACCACAAATCGTAGCTCATTCTCCATTGTGTGAGAGCACAGCCTACACTCCACTGGATCTTGCCGAGGGACATCAACTGCCCGAAGAAAGCCAATCATCGCCGAAACGGCAGGAATCACCTCATCCCGGATCCACTCTGTTGCTTCCACCACATCAGCGTTATCTTCTGGTGTTGCCGCGTCCTTCACAAAAGAGTCAGAGCTCAAAGGTTTTCCATATGAAAGAAGAAATTCGGGCCGAAAACGCGGCATCACCGCTTCGTTGGCGTCGGCTTCAGTACTTGTAACAAAAACACATGCCGGAATGAGACGCGATGCGTTTATCAAATACAATCTTTTGTCACGGCCCGCCACGACAGCCATACCGAGAGGCGTTGTCAGTGTAACCACATCTCCCGTGGCTGGCCTTAGATGGTGTTGCTTCAAATTAAGCGCCTGGCCCAATTCCATCAGTTGGGATCGGACAAACTCCGGTGCGTCCAGAGTGCTTCCCCGCTCCTCCAGCGAGAGGTACAAAATATTTTTCACCTCAACGGGAGGAATAGCCATCACAGAGCAGCGAAACCCTGTGAAGGTGATAAGAGCACTTGGAGGAGAGTAAAGAAGCCGCCTTGGGCCTTCCAATGCAATAAGACGCATTGCCTGCAGGGTCTGTGACGCCTGTCGCCACGCATGTGTGTCTCCCCTTGTGTTTCCACTACCATCATCAATTGCAAGCTTCACGAGAAGATTATTATAAAGAAACGACCCTACACTGCCGAATATCGGTCCCTTCGCCACACGACCTGAGGAGGGACGCAACATGTCTGCAATGACGCTGAGCGCCGCCTCCTCGGCCGCCGTCAAAAATTGTCCCATAAATCTCTGTAGCTCCTCACTGGCGGAAACACTCTTTTCCCACTTTTCAAAGAGGACCAACTCCACAAGCCGTTGATACTCCGCATTCCAGTCCCGTCCTCTGTTGGTCACGGCAGAAAAATTGTGCCAACACTCCTCAAAGACCCGCACATCGTGTACGGCAAAGTCTTTTGATGGAGCGGCCTTTGAGTTCATCTCCACCGGGATCACAGCACGGCGCAGCACACGTGCCTCCTCCTGTCGGTCCGTCTCAGAAAACCCCTGGGGAAGCAAGCGCTCATTATACACTTTCTGCCATCTCGCATGCTCTTCGCTAATTTCCATCTCCGTCTCTGTTGATAAAAGTGCCCAGAGGATATCTCCCTCACTCGCTTTCAACGCAACCCACCAACTGCCGAATGGATCCATATACCGCCGGACCTCGCGAATAACAGTACCACACGGCACCACGCCGACCACATCGCCAAGCGGTCCCTGGTGGAGTGAAGCGGAGGCCCCAAGCAACTGCCAGTAAACGACAGACGCCTCCGACGATGCGGAAGCCGCCACCTGCGCCGCAGCAACAATTGGCGGCTGCAACGGCGCCGATGCATTGGAAACACGCGCCGCAGTTGCCCGCCTACCACACCCCTGTTGCTGAGGAGGCAGTCGGACCATATGCGGAGAAACAGGATCAACTAAAAACAACCGACTTCCCGTTACAAGAAAGCAACCCGCAATAACAAAAAAATTTATAGATATTAACATATAATAAAGAAAAAACACTCCCAAATTCCGCGGGGAATCAATCATCCGTGTAAACGCTTACCAAAGACGCACCCACCTCGACCCAAACCAACAACCGCATGCACACAATAAAAAGAAGCGAAATAATACTAAAAGAAAAAAAAACGGAACAGAAGAATATAAATGGCCAAATAAATATATTTCTTCTCGCACCCTGTGAGCAGTCACCTGCATGCCCCTAAGAAAAGAGAATGCGGCACAGTCCATAATAAAAAAAAAGGCAAATTATCATTTTCTCCGCAAACCTCAAAGTAGTGATAAGGATGGGGTGGGGAAGAAGAAGAAAAAAAGAAAACCAGAAGCAAAAGCAAAAAAGACACTCCCAAAAGGATTGGTTCTCTGCCTAAGCAACATGTTATCACGCAAGCCCCTTAATTTCAACTGAGCTGCCCATTTCTCCCTCTTGCCTGAGAGGTCCAGTTGCCAGAGCAAAACTTCACCGCACGCCAAACAGTACATTTCTCTTTCCAAGGCGCATACGTATCGTGAGAAGTGACGTCCCCCGGGGACAATAACGCTCCCATCCTCGCCAATGCTACGAACACAACGCATTGAAACAAAACACACAAACACAAAAAAAAGAAAAAAAAAGAAGATACATGGCCCACAAGGAAAAATAAACAAACAAACAAAAAGATGTTGCAGGCAACATAAAAAAAAAACAATCAATCCACATTTGACTTCACATCATGGAGCAAGTCTGCGCCATCCCCGCAGGTTTGGAAAGTTGATTTAAAAACTCCTCCTCCATCACTTTTCCGGTCATGAGTCTTTTGCAGTAGGCCTCGCTCACAGCATTTGATGTCAAAAGACCGTCGCCAAGAAACTGACGTACATCCACGCCATGTTCCAAAACCATCTGTAGGCGCAGCTGCTGTTTTGTCATGTGAACGGTCGTTTTGGGTGCTGGGGCATTTTTATTTTTTCTTCGAAAGGCATGAAGGGCCTCCGCCTGTGACTGAAGCATACTGGAAACATACTGCCACAAGAAGCAAAACAAAGCCACAACATCCTGCTCATGCAATGTCGGAGTTTTCTTGTTCCTGGAACCCGCAGCATCATGTATCCCCGATGTCTGTGTCTCCGCCTCTCTAGAAGGCGACTCCAAAGCCACATCGCCCTTTCCAACACCCTTCTCCACTTCGACAGACTTATTTCGAGACGGTGCAGACATCAACCGATCCTTCAGTATCCCGAACGCCATCTGCATAAACACGTGATGCGAGAGCGAGACCGGAATGGGGTCCCCAACGGTCAAGAAGTTTGGGCACTGACCAGGAGGCGATTTTGGGTCTCGTTCGTACCACAAAAGGACATAGTCGCAGCGCAGTGTGTTTTGCAAATGCTGCTGTTTATTTAAAAAGGGCGACGGTTTCCGCTTCCTCCCCAAGGAGGAAGGACGCTGCTGCAGCTGCTGCTGTTCTTGACTTTGCGAATTCGTCTGTGCCGCGTCTTCCATTGCAAATAAATCTGCCCAAAACGCCTGCAAGAAAAAAAAAATGCAAACAAACAAAAAAATGTCCCTCTTACCGACTCCCCTCTTCTCCCCCTTCGCGGCGTGGCTGGGCAACCACCTCCGTCACGACGCACGACACACACACGCGGTGAAAACAACAACAAAGAAAAAAAAAAGAGTTGGGTTTAAAAAAAATGACAAAAACAAGGGCAAGGGTACACATGCAGAAACACAACTTCATTCTCATACAAATAATTGAGTGGAAACAAAGTCAAAGAATTGGCTATATTGTCATCATTTCCTTGAGCTCCTCTCTCTTGTCAAATTCACCTGAAAGTAGGCACTGCAGCAACAACAACAATTAAAAAAAAAAAAAAAAGCACGTCTATTCCTGTTGAATTACACGCCAGGAACTCAATGTTGTGGTTCATCATCAAAGCAAACTTTTCCTGCAGTTTCCTCACGTGCTGTTGCAGTCGTGTCCGCATCTATTGTCATAAAAGAGTGGGTTGTTCCCCATTCACCGTCCCTCCTTCCGGGAACAGCAGATGCTGCTGTTCGTTCGAATACTTTTCGGATGGCGGTGGCGGTGGTGTAGAAAATACTCGTTCAAACGGATCAAATCGAGTTCCGACAGTACACCCATTCGCTCGTGGGGGAGAAGAAAACAACCGACTTCCGTCCCGGGGTTCCTCCACAGCCTCCTCTTGCCGTTGCGCAGACACACCCGTAGAAGAAAAAAAATCATCCAGAATATCATAACTTGCCTTGGCGCATCTCTCAGAGTCAGATGGCATACCAGAAGTACCTGCACTAACGGTGTTGACCGCGGTATTATGCGTGGTAAAACAGCTAGGCGTCTCAAACAAATCCCTCTCTATGGTGTTTGATGTCCCCAGCATAACATCAAAGCCGCCGCCTCTCTGATGTTCTTGTACCGCAGAAGGCGAATTTCCAAAAATGTCGGAAACAATATCACGATTTGAAGCCCCTAATTCAGTGTTGGCGTTAAAAGTCATTAATAATTGTTCCAATTCCGGTGACATTTGGCTACTGCTTTGCCGTTCGCCTTGCTCTTTTTGAGAATCTCCCAAGCACTCTTGACTCTGTCTCTTCAGAACTTCTTCCTTTTTCAATCGTCGTGTTCTTATTTGCATCCCACCCAGGTCTATTGCCCCTGTTGAGGTCATTTCCGATGTGGCCGCCAATTTTTTCTCTGCTGGATCGTCCAAGGGCTTGTAAAACCTCTTTTTTTCGTATTTTATCTGGATCCACTTGAGCAGCAGCCCGGAATCTTCCTTCTCGGACGGTTTTACGTAGTCTGCGGGAAGAGTTGCCTCCCAGATCATCTTGGCCTTGCCATTGCCCATTGCACGCATGAAGGCAACCTGCTCCGGCTCCCACAAGTCCATGGTGCAGCTCTTCACTTTGCTCACGTGAACACCGAGCTGTCGATGCAGTCCGCTACAACGCAGGCAGATAAAAATGCCCAAGTTTGTGCTGGCCCACATCGGGTTCCGCGCCTGGCAGTCCATGCATTCCTGGTTCTCCTCCAGCCGCAGCAGTTCGCACAACATGCGGCGGTGTCTCTCACGCATCTCCTTGGATTGATTTGAGATGGAGGCCATGAATGCGTTTGTCAGCACTTTCCTATAAACGCTGCCAGTCACGCGCAGACAAGAATTGAAAGAAAAAATAAATAATAATTTCATTTCATAAATAATTTTAAAAAGAATGAAACTGCCGAAAAAAAAAAACGGCCGACACTCCGTCACCACGCACACGTACCAACACCGCAACATACCCACAAGCCCCCTCCCCTCTCTCCCCCATCCAACAACAACAACAACAAAAAAAGAGGCAATACTCAAAAACGACGCTGTTTTCTGCAGGACGCTCTTCTCCATTCAATGACATTTACTTTTCCTTTTATCTTTTTGCCGCAATTCTCTTTTGACCCTTTTCACTTCTTCCTGTGGCCTCCCTCGCTTGACATTCGTTTTTTTTGTTGTTTTTTTTATTTGCGAGAACAGGCCAAATAAATTTAAAAAAACGCTTTTTTTTTTTTGCTTCCTTCAATTCCCTCCCGCCTTCAAGACCATTCAGTAACAACGTTCAGGATCCTTTCTGCGCCTAAATGTGAGCCTGCTCCGGTAAGCCATCATTTGTGGAGGCAACAAACAATACGCACCGTCCATTAGCCTCGCACTTCAACGGACCGTGTGGAACGGCAAAGCAGTCGCCTTCCGCCACGTGCGTCCCATTCACAACGCCCTCACCGCCCAAACAGAAGCCCAGTCCAATGTTGGGAAGATTGACACAAGTTTCGCTCGCCTTCTGTGCAACGTGTTCCAAGCGGTAGAGGGAAAATTCGGTAAACCTACGCGGCGGAGAATAGCATTGCACCTCCCATGCTTCTCCCTCGGCAGCGCGATAACGCTCATACTTTGCCCGCTCCAGGCCATTGGTATTATAATGCAACATCTCCAGCAACGTGGGAACGTCTTTCCACTTTGGAGTCAGGCCAGCACGCACAACGTTATCGCTGTTTGCCATGATTTCCACGCCATCCCCGTACAGGTATGCGTGCGGCTCACTGTCTGATAAAAACAGACCCTGGCCAGGTTCCATTTGTACATAGTTAAGAAAGTACAACATCCAGCAACCAATATCATCTGGATATTGAGACATAAGACGCAAAAAAAGACGATCTTCCGTGGAAGCCGCCTCGCCCTTTGCACTGACAGCTGCCGCATGTTCTCGAAGAGCCTTCGTGTGGACTTCGGGGTTCAGGCTGTACAGAACACGCATCATGCCCTCAATAAGATCACCTTCGCTCTCCTTTGCTGAGACAACGGCGGTATTCCCGAGAAGCGTCTTCAACGGCTTCGTAGATTCAACAAGAGAAAGAATTTCTTGCAAAGGACGAAAACAACAAAGAGCTTCAAATGGTGTGAGTGCCACGATCAGCTCCGGCTTGTGGTTATTGTCCTTGTATTTGCTTGGGTTCTCGAGATGAAGCTTCTCCGCCAATTTCTTATTAGGGTGCGCTTGTATAGAAAGTGCCGTCTGTACCGACAAGACCTTGAGGAGAAACGGCACATTGCTGCGCAGCTCCACGTTGCTTTGATGTTCTGGTGAGAAGAAACTGTTGGCGATACCCGGATCGCGGAGGTACTCCCCCAACAGCTGCCCGGACAATAGTCGGGAGGGACAATTCATGTGCGTTCCAACCCACAACTCCGCGTACTTACGAGTTCCGTCCGTCTCGTGCTTCATCTTCGCCACAAAACTCTCCGCGGCAACTTTCCCCCAGTCGTAGTGCTGAACGCCGCAGTCCAACTTCACAAGCCCCACCATTTTTTTCTTTTATTTTTGTTCGCCCTTTGCAGGGATACTGGGAAGCGGCAAAAGAAAAAAAAAAGCTCACAGCAGTTGCATGCATTGCCACACACAAACACAAAAAGAAAATTGACGGATATGTGAGGGTACAACAGGAACAACAGAATAATAAAAAAAAAAAACAGAAAAAAATAAATTGATGTCCCTTTCAATTCACTCGACGCTTTCACGCAGAAATGAGGAAACAGCAATATTGAACCCCACAGAAGCAGATGAGAAAAACCCTCTTCGGCTCCTCGCGCAAAAAAAAATAAATAAATAAATAAGAACAGAGAATCTCCAGCCCCAGATCGAAAAGAAAAAAAAATGTTATTAAATCAACAGCTCGGAAAAATTAAAAAAATAAAAATAAAAAATAGTCCTGGTGTCTGCAGACCATTCAACCATGAACTCTATTTCTGTTTCGCTCGTCCATAAGGACGCAGCTTCCACTCGGCACAAAACAAAGAAAGATCAGAGGGAGGCGTAGACAACGTGGCAGCCTCTTTAGAGGACTGTGATGTTACCATTCCTTTCTCAGTTCTCTTCCACGCTGCCCACTTCTTCGCTGCCTCAGACACGGAAGGAATGCCGGACGTAAAACGCAGAGCACCTCTGTGAACGGACACCATACGGGGAGAAACATTGATCATTCGAAACTGTGAAAAGCGCTTTACGCGGCTCGCAGCAACGTAAATGAGATGGTCGCAGGGGAAAAATCCGCTTCCGTCAAAAAGAACCGAATGATCAAACGTTAGTCCTTGAACTTTGTGAACGGTGTAGGCGTACGCCGGAGTAAGAGGCATGGCTACGATTCGCACCGCGTAAAATCCCTCACGCTGCTCCCATGGCAACGGAAGGGAGACCCACGGAATGGCCACCTCTTTGCCATCCGAGTCCATTCGCACGACTGGAACAATCGTCCCACCATGGCCCTCGTTGCAGGTACCTTTTTTCTTCTGCGCCGCAGTATGTCTGTGGCTCGAGTGCCTCTTCAAATGGCTTAAGGCGGCATACTGTCCCGCTGGCAGCAGAACCTTCAGGCCCGTCGGAAGAAGATGTTCAACTTGGTGTAGAGGCTGGAAGCCAACAACAGTTCCAAGCGAGCCGTTGACGTAATTTCTGTTGAGATTACGCAGCAACATGACGCGGCATCCCACCTTCAGTCGCTTGTGCTGAAGCACTTGGTCGCGTTGAATAACTTTGGCATATCGGCGCTCCAGCGAAAACAGAAGGAAACGTTTCAAAAAGTCGACCTTTCGCACCTCCCAAAGAATTGTTCCCCAATGTTTCCGGGCTGCTGCAGCTTCTTTGGATTTGGCAAGAAAATTATCGTCAAACGCGGATCGCAGTGCGGCCATCGAACTCGATGCCACGCTTCTTGTCGGCCCCAAAAAGCAAACGTATACGGATAAATGATGCGAGTAACGTGAAGAAACGGGTGGTATCAGAATTCGTACAGCGCCGTTTAGCTTGCACTGCGAACAGAATTGACGTATCAACTCCTCTGCTTTCCGACGCCAATTTGCAGAGCGCATCGGTTTGTTGCGGAAGTGAACAACGAGCATGTCGGGACAGGTCCTGCAATCGCCACTTGTGGAACGCCTCGCAGATGACGTTGCCCCATTGCCACTTGTCACGTGAAACTCGCTCTTAAAGCAACGTTCCTCACCGGTTAATTCAAGCATTTTTGAAGCATTGAACGCCGTCACCGCACGTTTAATTGGAAACAGTCGAATGGCATCAGGGTCCTCAGGGTTATGCACGGCAGAACGTGAAAGTCGGTGAGTCAGAATCCCACGACGCAGTTTGTTCAGATCCTCGAGATACTCTGGATCCTCCCTCTGACGCGCCGGCTCCGAAAGCTGCAAATGAAGCAGGCAATGTTCAAAAGTAGCGCTTTCATAGACCGGACGGTCACAATAAAAACGAAGCAATTGGTGGCGGCGCTTCACAGAAAGAAGAGTAGATTCGCGTTGAGGATGCTGCGACGAAACGCCCAGTGCACAGTTCTCTTCCTGGGAAACGGTGAGCTTCTCCATCTCCGGCGTCACTCCGGTGGGTATGACGCCTTTTTTTTCCACCCCCGCACAAAAGAGACGCTCGGGGTTACCCCTAGACCACCGGCGACCGGGCATAAGCTGCAAAAAATCACCAGAAAGTATGACCTGAATTCCACCAAATGGTTTATTTTGTGATCTACCGGGAGCCATGCGTGCTGCCAAATCCAACGCCTCGATGTAACCAGCATGCAGAAGTGACACCTCATCCACAATGATAACATCCGGCACTGCCAATGACTCGGTGTCGTACCAAATGTGAGGTGCAGCACCAGCCGTGGATGCATCCCTCTCATCGTCAGATGTGACAGGAACACCAAATGTACTGTGAAATGTATTCCCACCAATTCCAACAGCGGCTATGCCCGTAGACGCCGTCACCAAAACAGTTAAACCTTTCGCTTCAAGTGATTCGGCTATACAACGCAGTAAAAAGGACTTTCCTGTCCCGGCATCACCGCCAATAAACAAAGAAGCTCCATCCAAGGCAAGCTGTCGTACAATCTGCTTCTCTACAGAAAGCCACTTCTTTTCTGGTTTTTTATTTTCTTCGGCGCAAACTTTCTGCCCACTTTCCTTTAATTCATCGTGCTGATGCGGCTTGGGAATCTCCATAAAATCCGGCAGCTCATTCACCAAAGATGAACATCTCGTCGAAGAATTCTTTCCGCCAGAGAATTGAGATCCATACGGTAGTTGTGATAATTGATGTTTATTGTGAATCAAATAAGAAGGACCCTCTCGACCCACAGCGCGTGCATGCGGTCCATCGTGTCCTTTGCTCTCCTGGGAGGTGTTCCTTGAAATGACTGCTTTTCGGACCCCACGAAGGAAGGGTTCCTGCAGCAAATTCTTCAAGGGAACTGAGCTTCTTAGCAGCAACGCTCCCGTGGTTCCAAACAGCATAAATATCTTGGAGCAAAAAAAAAAAAAAGCCGTAAATTAAAAAAGCAAAAACAAAAAATATATGAACTTATTAATAATAATAACACACCAAACAAAGACGTTAACTTCGCATTTGCTCATTTCAATCGGCAAGCGCAAACAGTGCCCAAGAAAAGGCTAATTGACAATATTTGTTCAACTGAGCGTCTAATAGTAACAATAATAATAAAAATTATCTAGCCAAGAAGGATGCATCTCAATAGGTGATCTAATACTACCATTTTGGTGCGTCATGCAGTGCAGACGAGGATCGACGAACCGGCAATGGCTTTGAGGATGACTTTCTAGAGACAGACCTCGGTGCACTTGGTTGACTCTTGTCGCCTTTTTTCTTCACGGAGAAGTGGCGTAATCGAAGGTTTGCGCGGAGGTCAAGAAGTTGCTTGTGTTCATCTGGTGAAAGGTAAATAGAGTGGCACCGTGTTTCGGGTAACGTGCATTCCCCTGTTTCCCCACGAGAGACAATAATGCCACGCAAACGCATCAGTGCAAAGACCTCCGCACCCGTCAATACATCTAGCACTGTTCGTTGCGGAGTGGATTTGCGTGGAAGTGCGGGCTGAGCAACTTGACAAGGACTCCGTTGTCGGGAAGCAACAGAACTGGGACGACGCGGTGTTTGGACAGATTTCTTCTGGGACGAGGGATTTGTAAAACTTTCGCTGCGGAAAGCAGATGAAGAGCGTGAATACACATCCTTCGGCAGCGGTTTGGAGGCAACTCGGTTCTGGCAATGCCCTTTGCCATCCAGAAAAGACTGCGACAGCGATGCCACTCCCGGTGAGCCTGGCGATGCAAACCGTTGCTTCGCGTTACGAATGAAATCGGTCGCTCCCTTTATTTTAGGGGTGGATGCTTCCACATTTTGCTGCTCTTGTTGTTCCCCTTTAGTTTTTTTCAACCCGGTCTGCTTTGTGCTGGGCAACACCTCGTTCGATGCATCGTCGGGAGCACATGTGAGAGCTCCAGAGTGGCCAGTCTGCCACAACTCCTGCGGTTTTGGGGATGGTGACTGCTCGGTACTTCCTGGACTGGAAAGCGGACTCCTGCTTGCAGCCGACTTCCGCAGCTTCTCCCGCAAACGAGCCTGAACGGCCTGAAGTGGATCAAACCCGCCGACCAACCCCGAAGTCGGCCGTGGCGTTGGGGCTGCTGCGGCAGGCACATTGGAACGGTGGCCAGCACAAGAAAGAGTCGATGTGGGGACGTGAGAGGAATATAATGAAGCTCTCCCCGCCGATCCCGCAGGCTGCTGCTGGAAAGACGCCGTAGGCGCCCACGTGCTCACGTGGTATTTTGTTGTTGGGGCCGCCGGCGTCGGGTCATAATACGTGTGTCCCTGCAGGCCAATCTGCAAATTCTCCGTTGAAAAGTGCGTCGTCCTCCTACGTTCCTTGCGGCCGTTCGGCTGTGGTGTTTGGTGATTGCCGTCTCTCTGCGCCGCCTCCCGCCTGGCCAACTCCACCAGGCGGTTCATGTCCCCAGTAGATGCGGGCATTGCACTCTTCGCCGTGACGCTCCTATTGAGATCGCGTTCCACCAGCACGGGTGAATTCTGCTTATCGTCCTTTACCGCGTGAACTTCGCAGGGACGAGCGGCGTCTTCATCGAGCTGAAAACTCAGGTTGAGATTCGCCAGGCGATGGCGCACCTCATTTATTTTGCTCTCCACTTCTGTCAACCGTGTTGAAGACATGAACTTGTCCCTCCTACCTACAAATAAACCGGAAAATAATAATAAGGAAACAAATCAAGAATATAATAAAAACAAAATGCATGTAGAAGAAATCGTTACAAAGAAGCGGATACATGTGGTTGAAGATTCAATTTTTTGTTGCCGTTCTTATTTTCGACTTTTCTTCAATAAACTTTGGCGACAAAAACACCTCCATTGCGGTCTCTGCCCCCCAGTAAAACCGTATGCCGCCTCACTGACATGCCACACAACGGATCTTAGATTCCAGTTCCCTCCACACAGGCAGAAATCGCTTCCCATGCTCCAAAACATTGATAATATCCACATTACCAGGGGAATCGCGCTCGACAACCTCACGTTTTGCCTTTTTTCCGACAAGACGACGTTTGACGCAAACCTTTTGCAGCATTTCACGGTCCCCGCTCAGCACAATCACCGGCATGTGCGTCATCGCCCGCGCAATTTGCAGAATCACGCCATCTGCCCCCTGTCGTTGGCCCCCGCATGGAGTAAAGTGACATCGGCCCTCCGAAACAAGCCGCTGCCAGACACTTGGTCTTCTGCCAACCGACTGCTTGAATTTTGTATCCGTCCCTTCTCGAGGTATGCTCCGGCAAACACTCTCTGCACTTGGGAATTCACCGTGGTAGCGAGAAAAGCAGGAACCAAAGAAACACCATACATACATGTGCTCAATTAAATCAAACCCCCCATTCGCCGGCACATTCGTGGGGACCGACCTGAACTGATTAAAGCCGTAGTTGTCCAGATCAAGCAGCACTACAACCATCGCCTTCTTACTGCTCCTCCGGCGCAATTTAGCCAACTGCGTGGAGACACGTACGGTTTCGCAACGCACACAGTGACATTCGTTGCCCAACCACGAATCGCCATTCATAAGCCGGGCATCGTGAATTGACTCTACGTCATCGGCCGTGCCTGCCACACACGAAAACCCCACCTCGCCTGGCCGATGCATGCGGACAACCCCAGCCGTCATGTTGTCCCTTGACTCGTCGGAACTATCATGGGGGCCGTTCCTCTCAGCTGAACAAAGGACACCGCCCTCGTTCTCAAACTCAACCTCAGCAAACATCACCAACACGCAGAGAAGAGAGTTTCAGAAAATCTGCCACAGCTGCCTTTTGAGAAACTATTTCCGTAAATACATACATATGCATATACACAAGAATAAATTTAAAAAAAGTGTAAATGGCATAAATTCATAACGTTTATATATTTAAACCTGGAAATAGAAAATAAAAACAATACACACACAGAGAGAGTTTTATATACATATATATATATACAAATACACATACATGCACGCACGTCAGATATCCTGTTTACTCTCATCGGGCAACCACAAGCATTTGACTCGCTTCAATAAACGGCCTTAATGACTCGTCCGTCAAGAGTACATTCACTCATCGCGCAGCCGCTTTCCCCCCTTTTCTTTTCCAAATCCTTCCACGATGTCATCGTTATTAATTAAAGCATGCCGTACTCGAGTAATGTCAAAAATTCCCCCCTGACGAGCACCCACAACTGCACCTCTTCCCTCACCAGAAAGAAAATCAATCCACGCATCCGTTACAAGGTCAGCCGTAGAGCTCGGTGACAACCGCTGCAGGGTTCGATAGTGTAAATGAAGTGCGGTAAACAAATCGTCCGTCGCTAAAGTGCCATCCCTCAAGCAACATACGGAACGGCGAAGACAACTCAACACACCGAGAATACAAAAAGTCCAGCACGACAAGCCAGAAAGGTCGGTGTCCACAGACAGTGCACTCATCTTTTTAAATCCGGCGTCCACAACTGGAAGCAATATTCTCCTTGCATCCATCGCATAGAATGCCGCATCGCAAAGAAGCAACAACTGTGCCTTCGCAACATTTATATGAACAGAAATAATTTCTGGGGAAAAAGCAAACGAAGGAGTAGTTGCGGCAGTTGCGGCCACCCTTGCAGCTGCCTCAGAGCAAATGGATTGGATAGCGCTAAGGAATGTATTCACCACGGTATGCTCCATCCAATTGCGTACCTTCCTTCTTGCTTCCTCCTCAAACTGTTTCCTTACATCATTAGACAAACGCCGTGAGGCCATTGCGGCAAGATACACATCAAGGCAATGCCGAGCAGAGAAACCCACTGCCTTCACGGCCTCCAAGGCACTCGACAAATCCGCCACAACTTCATCATGACAGTAATGAAAAACTACCCACTTCAGAAGTTCTGTATGTCGTTCCAACACAAAACTCCAGAGGTCTGCAGTAGTAAAGAGTGGGATTTCGCCATGGTGCCGCTCGTGCGTGTACTTCTCAAACCACTGCAGAAACAGACTGAGGGCAAATTCCACACGCGCAAGATCCACCTTTGCGGGAAAAGGCTCGTTTTCCAAAATACGGCGCATTGTCATAGCAAAAGCCAAGTCAGGTCTCCCCACTTTCTCTCTTAGGCATCGGACAAGCAGCTCACACGAATTGTTCCCGGAATTATCGGACCCGCATTCCTTTGAAGTTCTCTCGTTCTGTGCCCTCATCTCGTGTTCAAAGACATCACGAGCCTTAAGACACCACGCCCCCTTGAGAGTGTCCTGAGCCCGCTTCGCTATCGCCTTTTCCTTGCCTTCATTTACCTCAAAGGAATGGTACTCATCGAGCAGCACCCCACTGTCAAGATCAGCGGATGGAACACCAAAATCCCGTTTAAAACTGCGTCGAACAAGAGCCTCCGCTGCCTTCTCATCCCGCCCTAGCAGATATGTGTCCGTGAGCCACTGGCGTTCGGCTCTACCAACCATTGCGTAAGAGCCAAAGAGGTGTGCGGCGTCATGAGCAAGGCGTTGAAATTGGTAGAGTTCAGTGTAGCAACGGCGCCTGAGACGAAGAATGGATAAGTCAACATCTTCAGTGTTGACTCCTTCCTCCTCCTCGTCCTTTTCTTCTCCCTCCTCGAAAGACACTTCCCCATCGCCATTCTCACTGCTCTTTTCTACTCCCACTTCAGATGCCGCAGCAGCAGCAAGAGACGTCATGTGCAACTCCAGGCGGATGACAACACTTGACCAGCATCCCCAAAAGGCCACGGCAAAGCATTCTTGTTGGGAAACAAGACATTGACGACACAACGTGGCAAGCGGCGCTGCCTCTTCCCCGGATGATTCGCCCATGAAAAAACACAGTCCCTCACGCCATTGCTGCCAACGACGGAGAGGAATCACCATCAACCGCACACATTTAGAGTAGACATTGTGGTAGTGACGCACAGACGTACTCGCAGAATCAATCGACAAGGATGCCACGGCCGGAAGTATGGAGGAATCATTTTTGGCCTTTTCCAGCGCCTCTAGTGCCGCTTCCCACTTTTCAAGGGAAAGAGAAAGCGGGCCGCTGAGTAATTCGGATCCGATTGAACAGAATTGGTTTACTTCCATTCTTGAGAGAATGCTGCGAAGGGCGGCCATTCTACTAATCAAGATGAGTTGGCAAGCCTATGGTGTGATCCGTCACTCTCGCTCCCCTCTAATGGCGTCTCTTCCCCAAACAAAGCAGCGGAAAAACACATCCACAGAGTCCAGCGAATAAAAAATATATAAACATACGCATAAATTAATATAGATATAACACTCACACAATTATATATTTATATAATCAGGTTTCAAAAGTAATGCATGTGTGACCGGGGCACTCAGCCCCAAAAGATTCGTGGCAGGCGTCTCTCTCTTTCCTTCTTTCTTTCTTTCACTCCTTGCCTCTCCTTCTTTTGCAATATGAAGCAAAGCGACAACAGGAAAAAAGCGATAGCTTCGCAATGTGTCCCTTTAATTGTTGTTTTCGTTCAATTTCTCTCGTTTTTTTCATTCAATTTGCTGTCAATGTGATCGGAGTTCTATGTGCTTCAGTGACGTTCTATAGAAATGCAGGCACCCATCTCCATGCAGGTGGGGCGTACACCAAAAATAAAAACAGATATTCGTCCAGCATTTAAAAATAGTTAAAACAGCCGCATTTTACTCACTTTTCTTTGTGCATGCCATTCTATTAAAAAAATCTGAAAGCTTCATCTGAACCTTCGGCTTCGGTGCCGCCTCATTACCCTCAACACCCGTCTGCACGGCTGAAAGGGCGATGTCAGGGTTTATCGCAGCCCCATCACTGAACAGTGAGCGTGACACGGGGTTCCCAGATGCCGCAGAGCCTGTTGTACCGTCCGAGGTGTCAAAAGGGGTTGACGACGTCATCTGTGTCGTGGTTGAGTTCGACGAGGCATTCGGTGTAGTTTCGACCGTATTTAAAATGTCCTGCGAGGAAGCCATGACACATTTCGCGACCGTCGGTGGTGGATCCCGTTGGGTGTCGGACAAATTAAGAGAGCCCTGCAAAACCTTAGTGCTGGAACGTCCTCGCACCCGAAGTGGCGAGGCGTCGGCAAATGTCACCGGCGATCGACCCAAACCAAATGCAAATGCGTCCATCTTCTCAATGCCATTTCCACCACGGAGTCGAATCCCAATTTTGGCAGATAAGTCCCCACTGTTCTTGGTGTAGCTCCCGGAAACGTGCCTCTTTTCACGTTCTGAAAGACTCACGTCCCTTTTTTCCCCTTTTCGTGCCGCCTTTGTTGTTGTTGTTGTTGGTGTGTGACTTTCTACCCTATTGGCCTTTAGTGGGGGTGTGTAATCCTCATCTTCAAGCAACAGTCCCATTTTTCTTGCACGTAGCGGCTGCTGCAGCAATAGCAAGAGAAACACAAACAGAAGAATAGCAAATAGAGACAACATATAAAAATATGTATACATGTATACTCATCTCCTGTCGCATCAGGGGAACTCACTGCGCACACAAAGAGAGTGTGTGCCTGTTGATGGATAAAGAAAAGGCAAAGGAAGAAGAGGCCTTTCATAACAATGAAAAATATATGTACAAAATCAGACAATAAACAGTGAGTGTTGGAATACACAAATTAAAACAAAAAACAAATGACCGTTGCCTTAATTGAACAAAACCGTCACAAGGCGGTCATCCCTCTAGTGCGTCTATTGTAACAAAAAAAAAAAACAGTCGTACAAATAACACCCTTCAATAAAACAAAAACACATCTCCGCATATTAGTGCAGTATTTTAATTTCCCACTGAAGCATATATATATCCCTTTCTTCTGTTTCTAACAAATTGAAACACACATGGTCTCAAAAAAGCAGAGGTGACTTACTCATCAAGGAATCCGCCGGGGATGCCTCCATCAGCGCAGTAAATCCTTTAAACTCCGGCGGGGTGCCAAAAAGGACTTCCCTACATGACTTTTTCGTCGACGATTGAATAACGGTAGAGCGGTCGTCTGATGAGACGGTGCCCTTCCCGTCCGTTACGGTGTAGCCGCACATCATCGCTGCAAGAACCGGTGAGACACCTTGCGGTGTCTGCTGCCCCTCTGGCTGTAGGTGAGTTATCATACGGTTTGCCTCCATCCCATCCAAATCCTTGTGGTGGTCCGAGACGGCTTTGTTCACTTTTGCCGACGGGGATGCGACAGCAGCACGCCAGTCTGACGTCGTCTTCTCCGTCTTCCCAGACTTTAGTGGCACAGTCGCATTGCTGCCGCGGATTATCTGCATCCCCCTCGGCAAACGAGGATCCACCTTCACCTTCACTTGCCTCTGTGTCATCGCGTTGAAGTGAGCCATTATGCGCATCACCTGCTTTCGGTAGTAACGATCAAAATCCTCCGTGTTCTGTGGCTGGAGCGCCAAATCCGCCACCTCCGACGGGATGTTGTACCGTTTCTGCAGCGTGTAGTTCAGGCGAGCGCTGTGGTGACGCAGCGCATTGGCATCACGAGGGAATGTGCGAAGCCCATCAAAGTAGTCCACATTTTTAGATAACATGCTTCCTCAACTTGTGCAGGCCCCGTTTCTCTCGTCCACCAGAACTTTCCCCCTTTTTTTTTCTCTCTTCTTCTTTCTTGATTTATTCCCTGTCGTGTGTGAGAAGGAAAGGCTTTTAAAAAAGCACCAACCAACAGTCCCACCTTCCAAAGTAAAAAAAAAAAGCATGACAAAAATGCAGAAACAAAAATTCATCAATCCACACACAGAGTAAGTCAAATTTATAATTCAAAGCTAACGCCATCCCTCTAAATCACTCACGTAAAATTCAAAACGGCAAAACAGCGACATTGACCCATGGAGCCGAGCTGATGTTAAGAAACATCGCAGAAGGCCTTCCGCTCAAAAATAAAAAGACACCGTCCGTCCTTACAAGTCAAAGCAAACCTCTCCCCTCCATCGGCGACGGAAGCACACGTCACCTTTTTGGCAACAGGTGTCGGCAGCACGTTGAGCGACGGCATCTCACCAATCCCCCTCGCAGCCGGCGTCCTCCAGTCCCGCTCCAAGGACGCGCTCAACTCTTCCACATTCGTGCGACCCCCATTTTCAACTTCGCAGAGTAACGCTTGGGGGTCAACACGGTAATAGGCCAAGAGATCTTTTTCGGCCGCACGGCCCTTATGAAGAGGTTGCCAGACCGCCGCAGCACCGTCATAAAGTCCGGTAACGACGGTGCCGGAAACGTGATCCACCGCAATGGGAAAGCGATCAAAGATGGCGTCATTCTCGTAAAGAACATCCAGGTACGGTGACACATAGCTCATGACATGCGCAACAGAGCATGGCACATCTGGTCGACGCAAATCCCAGAGTTTCAACGAAAGATAGTCACGAGTGACAACATGTTGAGGACCTAAAAATTTTGCCCCAGATATGCTACAAAGAATGTCACTGTATTGCTCGGGAATAGGAAAGGCTGCGTCCTCCGTAACGCGAATGGAGGTGGTATACTGGCATTGAGACCCCGAAATTGACTGGCGCAAATCGCCAATGCCAAGAAATCCAGAGCTCCTACTGACCAAGAAAATGGAGCTGTGAGTAGGGCTAAAGGCAATGGAAGTCACTAATTCCTCCACCTCATCCATACGCCCTGACAGAGGCCTACAGTCCGTGACGCACATCCCTTTTGACAAGTCGCAACTTTCCAAGTTCCACAAGAAAACCTGCAAGTCATCTGCACTCAGAAAGGAATGAACATCCGGACAAACGCAAAGGTCTTGTATGACATTTAAATGACACCCAGAAAATACACGCACAGGGAGAATAATAGAGGGGGGTGAGAAAGGAGGAAAATAACGTGCCTGAATATGGCGCCTCCCCACCACCGCCTCCATGGAAGGAAAAGCGTGAAACGGTGTGAAACCCTCGCGCTGAACCCGAAATAGTTTGATGTCACGCTCATTCGCTGTCAGGTAGCTAACAGTATGTGGGGAATCTTGGGTCGTCAAGAAACAAACAGACTTGACGGCCTGGGAGATTGTTACGGAGGTAAGGCAGTCCATTTCTCGCACGTACGCCTGGTGACCGTGACTTCGCAGAGGTGGTCGATGAAACCCAGCACTATCATGGTACAGAAAAGAATGATCAGAAGGGAGCGAGGCGTCATAACTAATCAGATCCGGATCCGTTTGACTGGAACTCCCAATAGTGGCGTTGGATTTGCTCTTTTGTGCATTCAATGACAGGGACTGTGCGCTCCTCGTGTGGCACACATCCAGTTCCGAGTAATTCACTCTACCATTTGCGTCCCCAACGCATAGAGCGAGAACAGGAGCACCATAAACTGGGTCAGGCATCATGCACATCGTCATTGCGCTGACGCAGCTTTCTATTGTCTCAATATCATTCCTCACAACACTGCGAGTGGCACCATTCTCTACACCGTTTGTAGCTTGAAGTTCTCCCGTCGCCTCATATTCGGCATTCTCAACAACGCCTTCTTGAACCGAACTTCTGGCACGTAAATTTATTAACGTTTCCGGAACATCAAAAGGATAGTGTAGCTTTTGCAGCAATGTAAACGATCCACCCGCAAAGGGTACGGAGTGGTATAAAGCCATTTCCATTTCACTCGCCTCTTTGGAACGGGCAAAATGTCTGTCTGCCTTTGAAATCACGTTCATTTTGCCTCCATCATTTCCTATATAAAATGAAGACGTATTGTTTACCCAACCACCAAATTTCTTCACACGTCCGTTGTTATCCGAGACACCTGCTACCCCCTCTCCTACCGCGTCATCAAACTCCGCGGTCCTATCATCCCCTCTCGGTGTTGCACCAGGAGGATTGCGCAAGGAATGCCCCCTACGGCGCCGTTGTGGTGCCTCGCTTCCTGTGCAAGAGGAGTGGCACGATCTCGGCGAAGGCACCAGAGATTCACGTGTCCTGTGAGGAGCCTCGCTCCCTGCACGAGAGAGGCAACAAGATGAAAGCGCCTCGACCTGAAAATCCGGCGAGGGTGAGCTGGCGCCATCCTGCTCCGCCATTTTGCCACACTCTTCTTCTTTCATTCTTTCCTTCTCCCTCACTTCCTCTTTCACGCCTAGACGCACACACAACCAAATTGAGGGAGGGGGAAACAGAAACAGAAGCAAAAAAAAATCGGTTATTCTAATTTTGACCACCTTTCCCAGAGCCCTAACAAATCGAACAAAAATGCGATGCCCCTCTACCTTCTACCCGCGTCCTCTAAACTAATACGCAACACAGAAAAAATAAAGAAAAAAGTTTCAAATGGGAAAAAAAAAGGTAAAGCTGAAAAAAATCTTAAGAGTAGCCATGTAGAGAACGGCAAACACCAAAAAAAAAACAAAAAAAACTTGAATATGATGACAAAAGTTAAAGTCTGGCCCGTCATTTCAACCACTCCAATCATACCCACGTTTTTGCACGCACAGAAACACCATCCTCTCAAGCCTGTCACAGTTCTCCATACTGCTGCCGGACGAGAGCAAAGCTGGAAGCCATTCTTGTTACATACTCCGGTTTACGGGTTGTTTTGGGACGAAACGTGCTTCGCTCCACCTCTTCATTTTCTTTTATGGCATCCTGCTCCTCTTTCATTCTCGCCATCTGCTCTTTCCGCCGTCGCAAACCCTGCTCGTAGCGTGAGTAATTCTTTAATGTCAACACTGACTCGATACGCTTATTGTGAGCATCATTAAGAGTGGGACGAAATGGATACTTGATTTCTTCCTTCGCTGCTCGTTCCTGCTGTCTTTTCCTCATTCACGTAGACGCACACCATCGTTCGCCATGGATTTCACGCCCCGTGGTTCCATGGCACGGGAAACTGCAGTAATCCTCGGCTTTAAAGTGCATGGATCCACGTATGGAGAGCGGTGCTTTTTTCACGGCTG